TCCCAGTCAGTGCTGCTTCCCACCACTTCCATTGGCTGTGAATAGCAATCTGCGGCTGAGAGCCATGATCACCTGATACCTGCAGAGGTGCTGGTAATTAAAGTGGTGGTGTTCCACCAGCAACTAACCCTGGCGGGCTGCTGCTTATTTATTACTCTCCCCGATCTAACTCATACCGCTTTAAATGACTAAAAAAAAAATCTTTGTTTCGATTTTTAAACGTGTCATATCACAGCTCTATGTTTTCTTTGCTCTTGTGAAGCTTAATTCTGCAGTGATACTTATAGTTGTGAAATATGAGTTTTAAGCTAGCCAGGATTGTGGTGAGTTACAGGAATCCAATCCATTTTGGATGTTAGGCCAGACAGGACTGAGCTCTATGGTCTACAGAAAATCCCAAATTTTATCAGTCATAATGGAAGTTCTGCTATTGTTTGCAAAAACTGATGACGAATGAACACGAAAGAGTAAAAGAACTAAATTGCTGTACCACTATTGTAACAGACGTGGCAATTTCCTGCAATGACAATCTCACTATGTTAAGTTTATGTGTCATTGTGGGTCAAGGATTGTATGAAATTCCATGGGGGAGGATGACCACAACCCTCCAAGAACTAAGAACAGTGTGTGTGGAGGATGGCCTATTAGGCAAATTCCCTCAACTTGTAACACTTCCAGGGAGGTACCACTACCTGGCTCAAACTGGATTCTCCAGAGACCAACTGAAAAAGAAAGGACTTCAGGATAATCAGCTTCAGTTTAAACTGACTCAGAGCCTTCTTTCTGATCTATCCAACAGAGAAAACCTTTTCTCCAAGTGAGGTAGTGGAAGAACTGACACCTGCCAGAACCTGTGCCTGGAGTTGAGGTGACTTCTGGTAAGCTTTTTAGCAAATGTTAAGATTGTTATTATTTTTAATACATTTTTGGCCAACTTTAAGTAACAGCAGAAAAACTATTTCAGTTCCCAATACATAAATATCCATGTCTGCCCAAACTACCCCCTCAATCCATGCTATTTAAAAATAGAAGTGTTTGTTTAGACAGAGCTGTGTGGTAATTTAGAACTGGAGCCAATTATACCATTTATATCTTTCACAGAGTTTGAAAAGTGCAAATGCTGGCCTAGTTAAGCAGTCTGGCTTGCTGGGAATGACAGTGTATGCAAGGAACTGTGCAGCCTGGGAAATCTCTTGTTAGGATGGAGAGAGATATGGGTCTTCACCCAAGACAAGTGACAGCTACTAAGCTGGAAATCCTTTCTGGAGTATGGAGGGGTCACACAGGTGGAGTTCCTCTGACCTGTGACACTCTCTCCTCTAGAACTGTTGCAAGACACAATGGAAGCTCAATAGCTAAATCCAAAACATCATGGCAATTGCAACAACAGCAACAAAAAAGCCAAATGTTGGTTATACCATATAAAGTCTCGGCAGTGTGAACAATATGTTGGTTGTCTAAGGTAGGTGGCCATAAACTTGTGTCCATTGACTTGATGAACTCGGCGTCGCACAGCACCCTGCCGCTTTCTGGGACGCATCCGCTCTCTGAACACACGTTCTTCATTGTCTTTGGGTGCTGAAAAGAAAAAGCACAAGGAAACAACAGTAAGCACAGAATCTTCCAGACACATTCTGAGAACCAGAAATGCAAGATAAAAATCAACATCAAAGTATTTTAAAAAAATCCAAATGTGTATCTAGCAGTGCAAGGAAACTTGCTTCCACAAAACTTGGTCCAGGCTCTATCACGGACAAAGACGGTAGTTTATTTTTCTCATTTAAGACCTAATGTTAAATGGACACACTTCTTATTGAAGTCAGTGGGCATTGCAACTTTTGTAATCTGAACCTTTTGATGTAAATTCCATTGGACTGGGATGAAATTTTCCTCTGAATTTTGTACAGCTCCAACTATTTAACCAATAAACAATGGAATTCTCCAAAGTCTCCAAAAGAGAGTACTCCTGAACACCCCAAGCTCTGGGAGAGCTTAACTGCAGGAAAAAAAAATGTCTCCAGTGGTATTTTTCTCTTAGGCAGGACAAAAACTCCATATCCAAACACCTGGAATTTTGACAAAGTTCCGATTAGGAGCTGAAATTTGTGGCTCTTGCTCTCCTCTAACAATAATGCATTCTTATTCATTGTATATGTACTTGAGGAAAGGGAGGTAGTCTGATCTCATGTCTGTATAACTACAAATAAGCGGGGGCTTTTGGTGATGAGAAAGATGAAAGTGTTAAGTATTGCTTCAGACTAAGAACACATACAAAGATCATCCAAGACACCAGGAGCTGTTTTTCAAAGGATTGGATTGGAGTTTCATGCATGATTACCATGAACAAATAATTATTGTATGCACCATTCTGAAAACATAGTCCTATGTCTCCTCCAGAAGTTTCCTCATCTGTCAGGCAATGTTCTGGATGAATTAGCAGCAAGGAATATCTGTGTTGTGAATGTTTCATTATTTATTGTAAAGATTAGGGTACAGCAAGTGATTTATATAAATCCTATCACATTATTTTGAATGACAATGTGCCCATTTATACCTTCCATCACAACAATCGAACCCAGGATTCAGTGGTGCACCTAGTGAGCCACAATTTAAGCAGCACTTTGTGGACTGGCCCAAGCCTCTAGCTGCTCCCCTGCACGGCAGCTGGTGGGGGGAGGGGCAGTGCTTTGGGACTATCCCCAGTCTCTAGCATCCCTCTCCATCGTACAGCCTTTGGGGGGGATGCTCCAGGGGCTCTGTGGACTGCTCCCAGGCTTCAGGACCCCATCCCCCGGGTCTGCAGGCTATCTGAGAGGACTAGTCTCCAGAGACTGCCCCCAGCCTCCAGTGGCCCACCTGTGACCTGCAGACTGTGTGTGGGCAAGGGTAAGCTTTGAGAGAGCAGTGGGGTGGGGGTGGGAGGCAGCAACCATGCGCAGCGGGAGGCGGTTTGCTTTTCTTCCCATTCCCGTGATAAGGGAGCAAGGGGAATGTACTTGGGTTCTGTGCATGCCTCTCACAGCTAGCTGGGGAAGGGAGCAGGCAAAGCTGTAAATCACGGAACCCAAGTACTGTTGTCAGGTGAGTGAAGAAAAGCAAGCCATGTCCCGGTATGCACGGCTGCTGCCCCCACTGCTCTCTCGACACTCTGCCCTTGTGGGGGTGGGTCGAGGGTCAGGGGCATGCCCACCCCTTTCAGCAGTCTCCATGTAGCCTGCAGTCTGTTGGGGGAGCAGCCCAGGATCTGTGAGCTGCTCCTGGCCTCCAGTGCATTCCCCCCCAGAGCCTGCAGGCTGTTGAGAGTGGGCCATATTCCAGAGGTGGCTCCACCCTCCAACAGTCCCTTCATGGCCTGCAGGCTGTCTGGAAGGGTGCCAAGGCTCCAGAGGCCACTCCCACTTCCAGTGCGGCCCTTCCTCCCCCACTGCCTGCAGGTTCTCCCCAGTGGTGGGAGGTGGCAAGTTCCAGGTGTGGGGCAGGAGGCTTCTTACTGGTATACTGGAAGGCAAGATCGTGGAGCCCCAGTCCTGTTGGTCACTCTGTTGGTGCTGCAACTGCTCCCAATGTCCACTCTCAGTAATGCATCCTCCTGTCTGTGCCCTTCCCTTTTGCATCCCTCCATGCTCTGCCCCCTTCCTTTCCAGGTTATGGAAAACAGTCTCACTTCCTCTTTTCCAAGCACACCCAAACCCTGACCTTGGTTTAAGTTAGGGGAAGAGAAAGCTGCATAACAAATGTGTTTGTCCTAGCTCGTAGGGTTTAGGAAGAGTTCTTGAACAAACGGACTCACAGATGCACATCAAGATGTCACACTCTAAAATATATAGACTGGAAGACGTATCGAGTATTGCTTGGGTCCTTTAGGGCAGGTGACTATGAGTGTGAGGGGGTGCAAGAGCAGGGGAGCTTAGGGCAGAGGGTAGAGGGCATAGGACAGGTGGTGGAAGCAGCCAGCAGCTGCTCCTTTGAGCCATCCCAGGACCAAGCAGCCTGCCTGTCAGCTTCTCTATGAGGCTGGCCCGGGATGGTGGGGGCCACACATCTCATCCATGGGCTTCTCCCTGGGACCATCTGGGGGGACATCTCCACAAGCTTCCCCCTGAAGCTGGCCCAGGGCAGGAGGGTGGTTGGGGTGCTTGCTGCCCCCCTGTGGTCATTCTGTTCATATATAACTGTCCCTTGTGCTTACTTCCTCCCCTGTCATCATTCGTGAGTATAACTGTCTCTACTAACACACTCTCCCTTTCTGTTTGATGAGAAACAATCATATTCTACACACATCCCATCGTCCTGGCACAACTAAATCCTGACCTTCCTTTAAGATATGGTATGTCACATTATTGGATTTTGAGGGGAGCAGCCATATCACTGCTGCACCCATGGGGGGGTGTTTGCCCCCAAAAGTTGGTACAAAGGGGGCCATGTGAGGTGTCAAACAAAAGCTTACTTTCTACTGGTTCTGTATACGCTCTTCATATATCTGTATAATGTCTGTGTGTGGAATTATGAATATGTACTCTGTATGGAGACTGGAAGTTTCTCTGTATGTGGTTGAGTAATGGGCCAGGAATGTTTGCCCATGGACATGCTAATGAGCAAGTCTCCAGGGAACAATGGATCTCTGGAGGCAGACACACACCTGGACACTGGCATTGTGACTCTAGCCAGCTTGGAAGAAACCAGGAAGGAGGTATAAATATGCCATGTGGCCAACTCCATGTTGGTCTCTAGATCTAAAGCTCCTGACCCCAGATGCGGCCTTGCAGGGATTCACGAGCCGGGAAGATCTGTGGACCCATCCTGGCATAGGCTGTGCACCAATGACTTTTAAGCCAGCAGCTATAACATCTCTGCTGCAAGCCTGCATTGAGAACTGGGAGATTCGATGCATGTAATGTATGATACTTTAACAGCCTTACTCTCATGCTTCTCTTTCGTGTAGTAATAAACCTTTAGATTGTAGATTCTAAAGGATTGGCTCAGCGTGATTTATGGGTAAGATCCAGAGTGTAAATTGACCTGGGATCTGTGCCTGGTTTCTTGGAACCAGACAGAACTTGTTTGGGGTAGGTGAGATTGGGTTCTAAGACCCCCTCACCTGTGTATGAGGCCCGGGGCCATCTGGGGCACGGATATTGCTGGGGTGTCGGAGGGATTTTGCTCGTGAGACTTCAGGCAGGCAGCTGAAGCGCTCTGTGGGACTGGTTTGTGGCCTATTTGGGAAGGTCTCCAGTCGGGGGGCTGTAAGGAGCCCTGAATTTGAGCAATTCGCCCTGAGCAGACACCCTCAGCTGTGCCCAGACCCGGCCCAGTCCATCACACGGTAAGAGGAACATAAGAACGGCCATACTGGGTCAGACCAAAGGTCCATCTAGCCCAGTAACCTGTCTGCCGACAGTGGCCAGCACCAGGGGCCCCAGAGAGAGTGGACCGAAGACAATGATCAAGCGATTTGTCTCATGCCATCCATCTCCAGCCTCTGACAAACAGAGGCCAGGGACACCATTTCTATCCCCTGGCTAATAGCCTTTTATGGACCTAACCTCCATAAAATTATCTAGCTTCTCTTTAAACTCTGTTATAGTCGTAGCCTTTACAGCCTCCTCTGGCAAGGAGTTCCACAGGTTGACTGTGCGCTGTGTGAAGAAAAACTTTCTTTTATTAGTTTTAAACCTGTAAACACCTCTTACTGTTTACAAGGAGTTTCTGGTCAAAGGGACTCACAGACATACAGGTGGACACACAGACAGATGCACAAACTCTCTCACGTACATAACAGATTATGGAAAGGAACTCCAGAACAGAGACATTAAGACCAAAATGACTACATTAACTTGGGGTGCCTCAGCTTTTGGATATCTAACTTGGGACACGCAGGGTTTGTTTTTCAAAGATACTGAGCACCCACAGAGCCGCCAATTAAAGCTAATGAGAGCTCAGTCTTCTAAAAAATCAGTACCAAAAATGTCTTTAACAGTTGGTGTCTAGGAAGAACAAAATTTTACAAACAACATAAACAGATCTACCCCACACACACAACACAATCTCTCTCCTCTGGAAGAAACATGGAAAAATATATTGCTTTATACCAGGCTCTGAAGTTCAGTAGGATTCAAGGTCCTTCAGAGCCAGGGGAAGCGGGGCAGGAAGGAAGTGAATTCAAAAGTAAACAGATAAGAATTGCTAGTGAGAGCCCTCTTCTCAAAACTTTATTGATGGTACAGGTGGTCTCTCAGGCTATGTCTACACTGCAGGCTTCTTGTGCAAAAATTTCTTGCACAAGAGCACGTCCACACTGCAAAAGCGCCATCAGAAAAGCAATGCACTTTTGTTCAAGAGAGTGTCCAGGCGGCATGGATGTTCTCTCACAAGAAAGCTCTGATTGCCGTTAACTGAATGGCCACCAGGGCACCTGTGCTTCTTTTGATAGGCTGTTTTTGCACAAAAAAAAACCCCTGCTGCCCATCCACTCACACCTTTTTGCACAATAAGTCTTGTGCAAAAAGGAGTTATTCCTCATAGAAAGAGGAATACCTATACCCAGGGCTTGCCGAACCGCGGCGAGCCCTGCTTGCCAG